TGTGGTACCCGATTCCAGATCTTAAACTCTATTGCTTAAATGCCTCTCCACTTAAACACAGCGATGGAGATTAACCTGAGGGCAGCGTTTAGCCTGTAGCAGCAATATCTCTAGGAATCATGGAGCAGGAGGGAAAAAATCTCTCTCACATCAGCCCAAGTTTGCTGTTTTGATACAAAGGAACACTTCTTACAGGCTTGTAATGTGAAAAAATTCAATAAAGTCTTCACTTATACACTCAGCAGTGGTTTCCCACAAGGCCATTTTTACAGACATTTTTCGGAGTAGAACCACAGTTTAAGGGGAAAATAACTGCAGATGTAGAACAACAGCGTAGTTTTTAGAAGCGCACGCACACGATTGGCAGGAAATTCAATGCAAAGGTTATAGTTAAAAGAACATTATTTGGAAAGTACCAGAAATAACTTGCAGAGCTTCTAGAGACCTTCACTGTGTATGCTGTCAGGCGGCGAACTTCCATGGCCATTAGGGCATCTCTGCCCTCATGCCTCCACCTCCTGCTGGTTCTGTGCCCTTTCCTCCACTCCAGAGGGCCTTGGGGACAGGGCACCCAGATGGATCTGCTGAGCCCTCCACCGAGCCCACCCCGGTGAGCTGGGCAGTTTGCAAGGCATCCCAGTTAGCCTGGCATTCTGGTCCCACTGAGAGCCAGCAAAGGGAAGGGGTGTCTCCAGACTAACAAACAGGATGAGCTGATGATTTGTGGGGTGATTTAACACCACACAATGTTTTGCCTTTCATGCTTCTTCTGTGTCTGTCCCCCCATTCACGTTTGCCATTTTACAGACACTCTCAGTGGACACACAACTGAAAATGAGCAGTTTCAGCAGCACTCCTCTTCTCTAATGAAAGCAATGTGAGGGCAAAAAGTCTTGTGCATAAGTACGTGCCTCAGTCTTGAGTATTTTTAAAACTTATGTTGCCCCTGCAACGAATCTGTACCAAACAACACCTTTAACAAAACCTCCATCATCACACTTTTACCTGCTACTTTAACACTGAGCAACAACACTGACAGCAGAGTTTACCTATCTCAGCCACCATTATGGGGACAGGAAGGTAAAGCCAAGAACACCTCTTTGTGTTGCTGACTGTGTGGTTTTGTTTGGCTTCTCACATTACAGAATGGCGCAATTCCTAACAATATCAGTGTGAAGGAGATAAAAAGACACATTCTCAGTAGCACAGCATCTTGGGCAATCAAGTTCAAAACCTGTGCTGACAGCAAGCAAAATTCACATGTGCCAGGTGGGGTCTGGGCGTAATGCCATTACCATGTCTCTGGAGGAAACCCTCTAGTTTATGCCACATAGTCATTGCTTCATACATTTTAAACTGTGTTTCCAAGGAAAATATGCTGAGGAAGTTTGTGTCTCCACACAGTTGAGGTTTGGTTGTCTGTAGCTGATCCATGGGATCATTCCCCCTCCCTTCACAGTTTTGGAAAAGTCAATTAATTCCAGTTGCCCTTGATAAAGTGTAAATCCCTTATTGAGCAAGGGTATCTTGATAGAGGAGTGCTGTTTTCCATTGGGACCCTCCATGGGAAGGTCTTCAATGTGACATCTGTCCTTACTAGACAGCAGAAAATCTGCACAAGAACCTATCACAGAGAAACAGATCTAGAAAAACACACCCTCCAGAGAGGCAGCTGATCACACAAATCCTTGTTTCCAGTTGCATCAGCCACCCATCCCCTATGGGTGACTACATGTTAAATTTTCCTCTTCTACTATTTCAGGTGCCATATTGCACAATCAACCTCATAGGATTTTTATGCATATATTAAAAAAAAATAGGAAGAAAAGGGAATCAGTGGAGGTTTTTTCCTTGATAAGCTGAACAATAAAAAAACTATGCTATGTGCATTTGCTTTTCCAAAGTGATCTCTGGTCTAAAGGAAGGTGTAGGTTTCTCTAGCCTGAAGCACAAACAGGAAAAAATTTGGTTAATGTGAATGATCCATTTCAGCTGCAATGGTGGTGATACCAAGAACTTACAGAGAATTTCATTGCTTCAGCTGAGGATTTCTGTGCCAGAGCAAGCTGCATTCATTTTCAGAGTTCCTAGGAAGGTTGGTCTGTGGCCTGATGATCCATAACATCTCCATCCCAATGGGAGCCTCCAAGGCGCAGCATACCCAGCCAGCAGTTTCCACAGCAGGAGAGCACACAGCAGCCCATCCTCTCCCCTGCTCCTCCTCAGCAGAGGCTGGCTGGCTTTGATTCCCTAGTTGTCCTCCCCAAGCCTGGCCTGACAAGAGCATTCAAATGACAGCTCTCAACACTCCTGGTCCTTGTTGTGTGTGATGAAGAAAGAGGTGCTGCACTCTGCTACTGCTGGTTAAGTGAGTGCTTGGTTCTGGATCAGCTGCAATGCTTTCCTAGAAATGGCCATGAGGAGTGACTATTGCACCCTTCTGCAGAATGGCTCTGCCTTCAAACTACTGTGTTTTTCTCCAACACAATTTCTTTTTGAGGTCTAGTATCTTCTGAGATCCAGTCTCTGGGCTGGGCTTCCTGTGACTAAGAACCTATCTTCTTCCTACACCCTTTTTCCACTACCTGAATCCAAGATCACTTTGTTGTTATACTAGGTCCCATCCTCCAGGTTTATAGAGTCCTCAATCAAGAACTGCCTGGAGACTTGAGATTAGCCTCTGGCAACTTTTGGTCAGCAAAACCTTCTTGCCAAACCTGAGTTTGGGCCTTGAGCTGCTCTAAGAGAGAAGGAGTGACCGCTGTCCATGTAAGAGGAGACTCTCACCATGCGGCCTCACACGAATGGCCATCATTGTGCAGCCCAGAGCAGACAGGAAACATGATGTGCTGAACTTCAGAGAATTCTATTTCTGTATGGAAAAGAGAAAGGCGTGTGAGAACATGTTTGCAGGTCCATATCTATTTGTGAACCAGGCAACCATCAAGCTGTGGATTTGCATTTGTACATCTGCCTTGGCTTGGGATGTGAAGGCAGAGAAAAGGGCTATCTGCTTGCAAAGGTGAGGGCATGGGAAGCTTTGGAAGAAGGTGAAAATATTTTTTTTATCTTTTTCTGGCCTGTTGAATGGACAAGCCATGCTAAACAGGCACTGCAGCTACTGCAGGGTGGTATTGCCTGGCTGAACTAGTTGCAAGGCTCAGGTCAGAGAAGCGTGGTTCTTCCTTCTGTGGAGTCAATGGGGTGTTTGGCTGGGTAGGGAGGCAGTGGGATGGGTGTTCTTGTGGTGTCTCACCATCTGCAAGTGTCAGGGTGTGCCTCAAACTTGTTCACACTTGGCATTGACCTGGTTCTACTCCCACTGTGACCCAGCACGGATCCTCTAAAACTGGGGCAAGCATGTCTGGTTTCATTCAGGTGTTGCTCAGGTCAGCAACTCCAGCTATTTTTCACAAAGCAGTCCATGGTATTTCTACTGTAGACAGACTCCTGCCCCCAGTTTCAAAGTGATCTGTAAACTTGTGTAGACCCTGAGAGCAATATGAGTGATCCATTTGGTTGCCTCAAAGAGGAAGATATGGGTCTTGCCAGTATCCCAAGAGGTCCTTTTTGCTCTCTTTTGCCTCCCAGCAACGGTTTGAAACTGGTCCCAGAATGTCTAAGCATTGCTTAAGACCTGACCCCTCCAGACCTGTTTCTGCACTTAACTGCGTTATCATAAGCAGGAAGTAAAGTGCGGTTTACTTTTGGTTTTTTTTATTCTTGGCCTTGCTAGCCTTTTCGATACTCTGGGGCCTCATCTCAGTCTGACAAGGCAGGCAAGCAGCAGCTTCCTGTGCACAGGTAAGAGAGAGGAGACTGAGACCATGCGCATATGAGAGAAACAGCTTTGGAGAAGAACTGCCGGGCTGCAGGCATCTCTTCTCCTGTGGACATGCACTGAGCCAGGATATCTGCCTTCATCACTCTCCCTTCTTCCCCTCACCCTTCCTTCCCCTCACTGTCTGACATCCAGCACCTGCTGCCGCACAGCCTCACGGCCCCAGGGACTCCCTTCATATGGACTGCTCTGTGCCTGGAGCTGGAAGGTAAAGGGGGTAATGCCAGCTCTCTCCCACATGGGGGTGGCTGATCTGAAAGAATCTTAGAAGGAGTTTCAATCTGACAAACTGCACTTCACCGTTGAGAAGGGCTGAGAACATATTTATCTCTCTGTCTCTCCACAATCCTCTCAAATCCTACCCCGCATCTCACAACCATGCCACCCGCTTTCTCTCTTTCTCTCCCCTGTCTGCTAATGTGTTGTCATCATGTCTTTCTTCCTCTGAACCTAATCTTTTATCACAATGGAAATTGGTATTAAGCTCATGCTGGCCCTTTATAAACCCTCTCTTCACACCCCTCTCGCAGTCCTGGCAAGGTCCAGTGGAGCTTCCATCTCAGCTCTGCCTGGGTTGGTGAGAGGTGAGGGCAGCTCCTTCTCCTCTCCTGTGGGCAAAGGCTGATCTCAAGGTCCAGGTGTCCAGGTGGACGGGGAGAGAGAGAGGTTTGGATGAGAAGACTGTAAAGTCAGTCTGTCTAATATGGAACACGACTGTGCAGGCATTGTAAGACAAGGAGGCTCCCTGGGTGCCTGCTCTGGATGAGGGCTGCTGCTGAGTTTCCTAATTACAAAGCCCAAATTTTCTGATACACCTAAAATCATTAACTTCCAAGGCAGAGAAAAGGTCTACTTGGAGGGGATGATGCACTGTTTGTACACTACTATGTAATATTTTTTTATATGGTAAAGCCTTCACTTTCTAGAACATGGTAAACACTTTCTTCTCCCTGATTCCCCCACCTGTCCCAAACATGCTATTCAAAACCTGCCTCCTAAGCCATGAGCTCTGCAACTGACTCTGTCAGTTGCATCCAGGGACCCTCTTACTCAGCAAGCACCTAGTTATTTCAGCCCTAGAGTTTACCAAAAAAAGCAGCTCTTCAAAGCGCAAGCTGTGCACAGCCGAGGCAGCACTCTCTACCTGAGTCAGCAGGCAGCCTGAGGCAGCGCGCACGGGCTGCTGCGCGCTCACTCTCGCGTTTGCAGAGGACAAGATTCCTGCACACAGCCCCTGTGCTGCCCTGTGAACAGCCTCTCTGCTGAGCAGAGCACCAAGGCAGGAGAACAGTGAGGTGCTGAGGGAAAGGTGCAGGCTCCGGAGTGGAAGGGATATGAGTTTCTGGACCTACAAGACTGGCACTGCATCCTAGGACAGTGGATGCCTCCTGTGAGATGACATCTTGACATCCTCCTAAGTTCCATTGCTGAGCTGTGTTGTGGGGGTGTCTTCTCTCTTTCAGTGTGTCACCAGTACTGATGAAGCCCTCATTGCTGCTTCTGTCTCACCTCTGCCTGTTCAGCCTCATGCCTCCCTCATGGGCATCAGACTCAGCACAAGGTAAGAAGCGATTCCTTTCACCTGTGCCAGCTGGGTGAACAGGGAGGGCAGTCAGCCAGGGCAGTGTGTGCCCCACGTATGCTGCTGTGCAATGTTTGTGTTGTAATGTGCAGCCAGAGGAGGTTGCAATATTACAGGTCTCTGATGAGCACTCAGCCTACAAAGATATAGAGAAATGAGTGGCACTGACTTTCTTACATGGACGTGCCAGCAGAGGATTCAGTCAGTAGTTTGGGATGGGGCAGCATTGTCTGGGGTGATGATTAATTCCAAGCATCACTGCTAATTGAGCCACATTGCTGTTTGTCTCTTCTCTGCTGGCAGGTGCCTCCAGTCTCACTTGTTGGTATGACTCTCGGGCAGCTCTCTTCTGCGACTGGGACCCGGGCAGGGACCTGGCTGAAGCACCATGCCAGCTGGAGATTTTATCAAAGAAAGGCTTTTGTGACAGGTGGGTGACTGGAGAGACTGAGGGAAAACAATGCCACTTTACAAAAATGTAGGCTTCCCCCTCTCAGGCCAGGTGTAGTGGAGAGAGCTGAGGTGTTTTGTCTTGAACTCTTTATCTCCATGTGGGCTGAGATGCTGGCAGCCACTGCTCAGTGTTTGCCATCTGACAGTCCCAAACTGTCTAGCACAACCCATCTTCCAGCTCCATGGCTCTATCTGAACTTCACTTCTTCCTTGGCAGACACCCTGGGGACTGAAAGGCATTCTCAATGGAAAATGAGGATGTATAGAGATGGGGCTGGAGAAGGGTGGAATTGAAGTTATACAGAGGCCATTTGGCGATTGCCAGGATGAGCTGAGATGTTGCGTTTTGAGTAATAATGAGAGAAGAAAAATATTATCCTTCTTTCTCTCCCCTGGCTCTTTCATCTCTTCCAGTTCATGCTGTTTTCCTCTTCCATATACCTGCCGGCAGAGGGGAGGTGTTTGGCCAGTACTGCACTGGGGGCTGGCTGAGTCTCTGTCATCTCCAGACAGGACATCTGCAGCCAAGAGGCTTACCAGCCAAGCCCAGGACTGCCCTGGGTGCCTGCCTTGAGGACAGGCTCAGTGTGGTTCTGTCACTGGGGGGGTTATTTGTCACTGTCATAGAGGCACCTCCAGTTGGGTTAGATGGACAAATATCTTGGTGCTGGTGCATGTCCCTAGAAAGCTAAAACACTGATGTTGCTCCTTGGGTGTGAATCAGAGATTGTGGCTGGAACTGGGGCTGGATGTGGAACCCTCCCCACTGTCAGCGAGTCCCAGGCCTGATGTGACCTTAGAGCTGGAAGAGGAGCCTCAGTCAGATGCTGCCCCAGCTGCAGCCCCAGAGATGTTCTCCACCCTGCCACACCCCACGCCAGAGCTCAGCTGTGGCTCCCTTGTCAGGACAGAAGAGAGGTTTTGATGTAGTGCTGCTACTTGAGGTGTACTGTCCTGGCTGACTGAGATATGACCTGGCTCAGAAGGTGCATGTCACTGAGTATCTGAGATCCTACAGCACTGTCAGTGTCTGGAGGGAGACCTGTAAAGCCTAGAGGGGCTGAAACAGGCATCTGTCTTCCAGGGCCGTGTTGCTGTAGGTGAGTTTGGGCTCTGTATGCCCTCTGATATCAACAGGAAGCAGAGACAATAGGAAGAGGATTTTGTGAAATCTTCAAAACTGGAAATCTGATGTTATCTTTGACTTGAAATAACTGGGGTGCATTGACTTCTATGTGCCAGCACACAAAATTTGTCTGAGTGATACAATGGGGAGAGAAAGTAGGATTAAATATTTCCTGTAACCTGTTCAGCAAATACAGTAGAATGTAAAATGCTTTGAAAGCCCTTTAGTATTACACAGTATTTGACTAACTACAAAGCTATAACTTTCCAGCTATAGCTTTCCATTGGAGTCACGTCCCTCATCTGAAAAACCCAAGAAGCACTGCAAGTTACCCAAGGCAGAGCATATGACAGGACTGAGGAGATGCATCAAAACCTTCAACCAAAATGTTAATGTGAGTAATTCATCTGCGAAGTCCTGGCTAAGGACAAAGGAGAAAGGATTTACATATGCATTTTGGGTGTATAAACAGTGCAACATCCAGGGGTAGTATAAAAAGGGCAAGCCTAATCCCTGAGTCCAGATCTGGGAGGGGGCTTGGTGTGCATTGTTGATATAAGTGCCTCCCGTGGGTTCCCCTGCAGGCTTCATTGTGAGCTGTGCTGACACGTGCAGAAGAGCTGCAGGACAGACAGATCATCAGCAGTGTCCCGTGTCTCAGGCACCTGTGTTTGGCCCAAATCTCTTCCTCTGAGGAGGGATGGGCATCTCCACCAGCTCTGAGGTCACCTCTTGAACTCTTTTTCCTAGAAATTGTCAATACCACTTTCCAGATCATTAGCTACTGTGAAATGTGGTTAGATGTGTCTAATGCAAGATGCAACAGCAACACATCACTGGAGCTAATGGTGATGCAAATCTTCCACCTATTATTCCTTATTTAAATCAGTCTTATTTTGGATCCATTATGTACTTCCTTCAGTCACATCCAGTGTCACTGCAGTTCCCATGTTTTCAGAAAACACCCACCCAAATTTGAGTTAATATTTTTATTGGTAAAGTCACAACCAGTTCTAATGACAGACAGGCTTTCATACATTTGCATATCATGTGCAAAGACAAATTGCAGGGTCGGTACATAGCTCCAAAATCTTTTCCTTCTAATCAAGCTAATTTCTCTGTTGCTTATTCAGTACTGTATGATGTATGTGGCCCTTCAGCATCACTGCATTTCAAGTGTCAAGTTTAATACTAATGCGGTCTCAGTTTTACCAGGGAACATAAAATGTTCTGGTAAAAATAAAATTTCTCAATAAATATAATCCATAGAGAGTAACTTTTTCTCCTGCTTAGTCAGCATACACAGGAATACCAAGAAACTAGTGTATCACAATATTTTGTGCCCTTCTTGTCAATAAACAAACAAAAAAAATCCAACCACATGAAATGTAAATTTTTGGTACCTCACTCACCACTGAGATTTATTCCTTTCTGCCACAAATACCTTCCATATTTATTGTCAAGTATGCCTAATCATCTTACGTGTAGGCAATACTTAGAAATTTGAATGCTTATTCACAAGGTTTCACTGTCACTAATGGTTAATTTTCCCTGCAGAATCAGTGCTTCACCGTTGCAGACAGTCTTAACTTGTCTGTCCATTGCCACACTGGAGAGAACAAAACCAAAATACCTGAACAAATAAAAAACTTCAAACCATTTGCAAATAGTGAGTACTTATCTGTCTTCTGGTCTCTGAAGCTTCCCCATGAGAGGATAGCTAATTTTCCTTCCTCATCCACTCCTATGCAACACCCACAGCTGATTTTAGGCCTTTGTCTGTTTGTCCCCTGCTACAATGAGCACAATGTTGATTCCTGCCACTGGCTCCTCTGTCACGCAGTGCCATGCCAGCCACACCCTGTCCTGTCCCATATCTGGCTTCAAACAGGTCGTGATAGTTCAGCTGCCCTCATGAAAAATGTGTGCTGCAGGAAGGACGGAAAGTCTTGCTGCTCTTCCTCTGCCCCCCTCTAGTTATGTGCTCCCACCCTTCTTTAAGACAGCTTTGGCGTGTTTCAGTCTTTGCTGAAAGGATTCAGGTCACTAAGCCAGAAGAAAAACATCTGCTAGGGACATTGTTTTGCTGGCTGTGTGAGTTTACCCATCTCAAGGAGGTGTCCTGCTGCTGAGGGGCTTGGTGTGCAGTCCTGTTATGGACAGAGTATGGGGACATCAGCCCTGCTTCTTCTCTCTTTCCAGTAAAGCTGAGGCCTCCAGGAGACCTTCAGCTGGTTAACATAACTGAAAACACCTCCAACCTAACATGGAGCCTGAATATTTCCTCTCACTATTTGGATGGGAAGCGGGAGTACCAAGTGCGGTTCCGACACGTGAGTCAGTCCTGGGAGGTGAGTACAGAGGGGGAAGCTGGGATGTGTTTCCATGTGAGTCCTGGAGAATCCTGGTCTTGTTTATGTCCCCCAAGACCTGCTCCTGGGCCTCCTCTCAGGATGTAAGCAGTTTTGGTGAAGCTGGAGGGAGGATGACAGCCCCTGCCCTTTTATCTGTGTCACCTGCTGCCAGTGTTTGGTGATGAAAAGGAGGCAGATGGGGATCCTATTTTACTTAGTGCTGTCACAAAAGAATTTAGACAGTTTCAGGACAGACCTGAAAGGTATGGGAAAAGCAAAGCAAAGAAGAATTTTCCTTCAGGGTGAACAAGTCGTGCACGAGGTATAAGGACTTGAGACAAGTGTTCTCTGAGGGTTTTGGAGAAGATGGGTATGTGAGGCTGTAAACCAGGGTGTTAATGATGTTCTAAATTTGCCCTACTCCCAGGAGGCTGCAAACTTGCCCATTGAGCAGGACCAGATGTGGGCAAATTTTGAGAGACTCTCACCCAACTCTAAGTATGAAGCAGCTGTCCGTGCAAGGCCAAGTGCCAGGAGTGACTACAAAGGCGTGTGGAGTGATTGGAGCAAGCCGGTCCTGTGGAGGACACATGCTGACCATAAGGGTAAGTCAGGTAGTCTGACCTGGAGGGGAAAATGGGGATTCAGGGCAAACAATGTAGAATGGCCAAAACAGGGTGAGAAGCTGAAGGAAGGTGTGTAGGAAGAGCTGTGTTGACCAAAGAGTAATAGAAAGGTTGAAAACTGTCCCTCCTGATCAGTTAGGTAAGATAATCTCAGCACCAAAGCTTAAGGGCAAAGACCCCCTGACCCCAGAAAATCCTCTCTGACTTCCAGAAGCCAGGCAAAATGCACAAGGTATAAATCAGGGACTGCTTCCCCGGAGCTGTAAGGCCAGATGTCTAACCAGCAGAAGCAGTAGCCTGGCATTTTCCCAGATGCTAATGTTACCTGGGAACAATCTCCCAACTTCCTAAAATGGCCCAGTTTAGTGGAGGTATTCATCAGTGAAATGCAGTGAAACAGCTCTCAGCTCCTGAGCTGAGGAACACCAAGCTTGGGAAGCAAAGTCTCATGGAAACTGGAACTGACTTAAAGCATGATAAGTCTCTTTCAAAAAAGGTCTGCTGAGATCTGCATCAGTCACTGTGTGAACTTCCAGCCTTGGAAGAAAGAGCCTTCCAGTTGGTGGCTGTGGCCTCTATTTCCAAAAAATAAGCAGGTAGAGGTTATTCCTTCTCACGTTGCCCCCATCCTGCCTCTGCTCAACCCCTCCCTGTTGTTCCTGGTCTTGGTATAAACAGAGGAGCTATGTTTAGAAAGGGCACTGTGTTGCTGTGGCGATCAAATTTTGACAGTGTGTGATGTCAGTGAATAGGATACAGCCACAACCGGTTGTCATAGCAACCAAGACCCAAAGATAACCAGGGTACCAGAGGCAGAGGAGACAAAGTGATCTGAGTAGCATCTCAAGGACAGGGAAAGAAAGAATGTGCTAAAAATGTCCCCTCCATCTTTTATTTTTCTCTGTTCTCTCCTAACTGCTCCGGAGATTCTCTGCATGACCAGGCCGAGGGACATGAGGGGTGGGAGGAGAGGAGGGGCAGGCAGAGGAAACAGGCACAGAATAGCAAGACCAAGCAAAGGTGCACTGGGGAGATATGTGTGAAAGAGATGGATTAAGGAATGTTTGAGATGATGCCAAACAAGCCTGAGGAGTGCTGGCAGCCCTGGCAATGTGGGAGCCCAGTCTCTTTATTCTAACCCTACAATCCAAGTGCTAAAATATAGTGTAAAGTTGTAACCTTCCTAGCCTCCTAATGCTTCCCCACACTTACCCAAAGAAAGAAGCCAGTCCCTTGATCCCTAACCTTCTCTATCCTTATCTTCTTGCCTTCTCAGAGACCTGTGAAGCCCATGACTCCCTCTCCCCACTGACCATTAATGCTGTTTCAAGCCTCCAACCCCACTTTAGCTGGTTTTAGGAGTCCCTGCTTTCCTTAGCAATGAAACAGGTTGGTGGACACCTCAATTAGCAGACTGTGCCACCTCATCTGTGGCCACCCCTAGCTGTGGTGCTGTTATGACCAGGGAGTTCAAGCTTTGTTTGTTCAGCACAAATTATCTATTAAGCAATGCTTAGATTCTGAAACCCATATCAGCTCAAAGGCATCCTACACAACACAGCAGAACTCACATATATTGACCTGCATATTAAAATTCTAGATAATATTACATTATATAAAATTATAACAAAGGCCCGCTTTGATCACCTTGAACAGCCATGAAAGGGCTGCAGCTTCTACCTACAGAATCCTGGTTAGATTTTAACAGCCATTTTCTCATTCTTTCTCATCTTGCAGGAGCATCCCAGCCAGTCCTGCCAGTTCTGATAGTGAGCACTTTCATCTTTGTGATCATTGGGACCGCCTTCCTCATTAACTTACGCACCCTGAAATGGTAATTGAGAATTAAGTTTACGTCTCTGTTCCTCTCCTGTATCTTGTGGGTATTCTCAAAACTCAGATTGTTTTTCACCTGGTGTTGCTCAGGATAGAGATGGCTTTAAGCAAACTAATTTATGGTTTAGAGCCCAAACTCCTGAGACTGATATTTGCCTGTGGAAAAATAACACCACCCAAGATGATGTGGTTTCACCAGCACTGTCGTATTGTGCCATTCTCCTGTGACCTGGTACCATGCCCTGGCTAAGTTTAAAACAGCTGCCTCATCACATCTGTTACCCAGGGGTTAGAGTGGAGTTTCCTGGCAGGGATGCATCAAAATTGTCCCTTCAAAATAGGTCACCGGGTTGGGAACTCTCCCTGTAGCGAGGACCAAGCAAGCCTGGTTACCACTTCCTTCTCATTTAAACATTCCAGCAAGAGCTCAGGCAGGATGAGATGACATTGGGCCTGCAGGCAAAACTGCTGAGTGAGGAGCACAATTCTTGTTCTCCCTGGTCTGTGCAGTCCTCACACACTGATAAAACCCACATGATGCTTCAAGACCTCTTTGCCAGTGTTTCTACCCAGACACTGCTTTTATTAAGGACTGAAAGTGTCTCACAAGGTTACTCAACACAATAATAGGAACAGTGACCTCTCAGCTTGGCAGAAGGTTAGAAACAGTCACAGGTTTTCTCATCTCAGGCCAGGGGTAAAGAAGCTGATATTCATGCTGATACTCATGGCAGGGAGCAGGGACAAACATTCTCAGGGATGAGGCTGCAGAGGCTGGATGGTTTCTGTGTAAGGAAAGACAGAGAACCATGCTGAGGGATGATTGATACTGAGAAAGTCACCGGTCACTATTTTACCCTGAGTCACTACACAAAGTTGAGGAAGTGCTAGATGCACAGCACAGAGGGAGTTAAAAAGGCCTCCTTTCTCCACAAAGTATAATCAACCTAGGGGAATTGAGTGCAGAATAATGCTGAGGTAAGATGCAAGGAAGGATTAGACATGCATGAATAAAAATAGCATCTGCAGTGATGTAAGGTAGTTTATATGCAAGAGCTAGCAAGCTCTGATACTTCAGAGAGTACACTGATTGCCTCCAGAGGTCAGGAGGGTTTTTCCTTACAACATCCTACAGCAAAGCTTCAGCAAAGGGATGACAAGATGATCCAACCACTCTGAGAAGCTGAGGAGCAGCTTAGATCACTCCAGGCTGCCTCAGGATCACAACACACTGGTTCCAAGCAAGGAGAGGCCTCTGGACAATGCAAGGCATACTCACTCAGATGGCTTGCACAGCCAGTGTGCCCCAGCTATGCCATGCAGCATGCATCTGGGAGGAATGAGAGCTGTGGCAGAGCTTTCCCAGTGATGGCCCTGCTCAGGCCACATGGTCCTGAGCCATTGTGGTGATAGCAAAACAGAGAAAAATCAGCACACAGCAGTGGGAACTTGGAAACAAGGGAGGCCTGCTCAGCCTGTCATCAGGACAGGGGCTGAAGGGGGCAGGTGGAGAGGCTAAAGTGACCAGGCAAGGGAGGGAAGGAACCAGAAAAACCAGGGGTTGTCTTTCCCCAGGGAAAAGGCTGCGGGAATGTATTTTCCAGTGCCAGGTTTATCTGTCTCACCTCTATACATCTTGTGGCTCAGTACTGCCTCTCAGACCACTCAAGAGGAAGGACAGACCCCAGGCTCGACTTTACCTCTTCCCCCATGCCAGGGCAGTACCTGTGAATTGCGGGGCAGTCTTTCACCCCCACCACAGTGACAGTGATCAGGACCAGGCCCTGCTTCATTTGTCCTTCTCATTATTTCTCCTCAAGGTTTAAGAAGATCCTGAGGATTCACATCCCAGACCCTGAGAAGTTTTTTCCCCCACTTGTTTCTGTTCACGGAGGTGACATTCAGGTATGGGGCTGGGGATGGGACCAGAGTGGGGAGAAATGAGGGAAAGGAGCACCCAGCTGCACATGCCTAGGACAGATAGACTACCCATGCACACACAATATATGCACCAGTAGCACCAGCTGCTGGGTTCTCTGCTCAAGTTCTGTTTTCTGACCTTCCAAAACATGACATGCAGCCGAGGAATCTCTAATTACAGAACAAAGAAATGGCAAACCACACAAAGTACAGCATCCTGCTCCCATAATCAGCAGCCTGAGAGACAGCAAGGGACCTGCAGGAGGGGGCTTGGCCTCTCAAGATCCCCCTCCCTCCCATTTCAGTGCCCCCCTGCTTGCCCTAGGCTGCCCAGCTCTTCCCCAGATTTCCTGCTGTGAGCTTCTCCTCTGCTCCTGTTGTGAATTGCCATCACACCGGATAGCACTTAGCTATTCCTTGCATTCTTGTCAGCTTCCCTTCTTTTCCCACTCCACTATTCCCCTCCCCTAGGCTCTCTGTGAGTATGGGCAGCTGCAAGGAGACAATTACCACTCTGTGCAGCATTTAAGGGAGCGTCAGATGCAAGACGTGGGAGGTGATCCCAAGGGGCATCTTGCTTTAAGAAGGATGGAAACAAACTGCAGAGGGTTCAGAAAGAGCAAAGCTTTGGAAAATCCAAGGTATAAAAATACTTAGAAAGCTTAAACTACAGGGAAAGAGTACAGAGTAGGGGGATGGGGTTGTGCACTCAAGACACTGTCAGTGCAGAAAGAACTTGAAAAATTTGCTTTACAAGCCATAAAGGCAATGGATTTGGATGTTATTGAAACCAGTTTATTTTTTAAGGATAATGATGCACTGGATGATGTTGCTCATGATGACTGTGAAAAATAGGCAGAAGGGGTCTGGAAGAGCACTTTAGACTAGAAATCTGCATATGGCCATGTGGATATATCAGAAGCTGTTCAGCACCTAGGAATAGATTACATGAGATACACCTCAATACTGTTTTTCATGCTTCACTTCATCTTATGGTCTTGTAAGGGTTTTTCCTACCTTTTTTATTCCCTTTATTTCATTTTAAATCTCCATCTTAAATTCACTGCTTCAGAAATCTCAAAACATAGGCTGACAAGATCCACTCTTGACTTTAATGTGACAGAGTGACGTACTCTCTCTGAAAATCCTGCAGATGAGACATCATGAATGGGAATTTCCCTCCCCACCATCTCTGGTAACCCTTGCTTGGACAGAAAAGAGGTCACTTGATTGCTGTGGCCAGTCAGTAGATGAAACCTTTGGTTCCTCTCTGAGTGCTATACTTTGATAGTCACTGTCTCTCTCTCTCTCTCTCTTGTGTTTCTTCCCCACCAGAAATGGCTCTCCTCCCCATTCTCCACATCTTCCTACTGCGTGAACAGCACAATCCCAGAGATCTCCGTGCTCGAGGTGATGCAGAAGAATGACCAGGAATCCCGGTTTCTACTTTCCAAGGGAGCCCTGACTCCTGATTCTCCCAGAGAAACCAGTGTGCACTCTGGATCCAGCTGCTTCACCAACCAAGGCTACTTCTTCTTCCACGTTTCCAACTCCTTTGAGGTCGAGCCCTGTCAGGTCTACTTCACCTACGAGCCTTTCAGCCAGGAGGGCAGTGGCAGCAAGGATGGTGACTGCTACCAGGCTCTCCCCTCCCCAGACCTCTGCACGCTGGCACAGGACATGAATGTGCTGCCCAACAACTTCTTTCGCTGTATCGAGTCAAGCCAGGGCTCCCAAAAGAGCCCCTTCATGGAAGAGACAGCAGGTGAAGCCCAGCAGGCCATGGCTGTTCCTGGGGCTCTCCAGTCGAGGGAAGGCACCTCACCAATGCCGCTTGTGGAGCAGGATGAGAAGGTGATGGACAAAGCAGCTTCACAGCCGGCTGGGGCCATGTGCCAGCTGGACACTGACTTTCCTGACCCGCTGGACCTGCAGGACAGCGACACTGTCAGTGTAACCGAGGGGAGTGGGAAGGGGGGCCCTCCAGCTGACCCCTGCCCACCAGCAGCAAATGCTGCCTGCTCCCCCTCTCAGCCTGCACAGCCTCCACCTCTAATGCAAAGACAGGATGAGGAGCCATGCAAAACAGCCTTCTCCAGCCAGGTCCCAAACACCGGTGCCTACCTTTCTCTGAGGGACCTCCAAAGCCAGTACAGCCATTGCTCTGTCTAGGATCTGCCTGGAGGAGACCCATAGGTGGGAAAGGCCACCTCTGCAGGGAAGGCTAGATGGACAGTTTCTCTCCTCAGGACATGAATGTAATTTCAGCATCAATCCCATCAGGACTGCTCGCTAATGAGGCTGGAGAAACCCAGCCAGCAAGGACTTACCTTCACAAGCAAATCTGTTCTTCTGTTACTACTGCCTCCGATGGCATAGAAACTCCTCACATTTCTCAAGTGACATTCAAAACCTCACTAATTCATTTTCCCCTTCCCAGCTCCTAGTAGGAGACTGTGCCAGCACTTCCATGCTCTGCATTTTGGTGTAAAATAGCACTCAGCTTTGAGGCTGAGCTGGCATATGATCAGTTTGCCTCATACTGGCCTAAAAACCTCTGATGGGACAGAGAAATGCCTGAAGATGTGGATGTTAGATTTTATACAGGGGCCAATAGCACTGCCCAACAGTGCTGGGGTTGATGATGAAATGGATGAAGGCATCTCCTCCTGACTGACCAAGGGTGTGATTTTTTTTCTATGATGTCCTTACTTTAAGTTTTAATCAGAGATTACATCCTAAGCTATTTGGTCCAGCTTTACACTTTAGACTATAGAGTCTCTAAGGCAGGCTCAGAGCCACAACAGCGTCAGCTGTCTAAGCAGTGCAGTGTAAAAAAGAAATCCCCATTATTGAGTTAAAAATACTGGGGAAATCCCCTCCCTCTCTTTCCTCCACCTCTGATGGTGGCAGTAAAAAGAACTCACACAGTTTCCCATTCTTGCTACAATATTTTTCATGAAATCGAAAGCCTTTCTGCCCTGCTGGCAAACTAGAGTTATTTGACTATGATAAGCTGATTGCAGAATAGTTCATCCCACATCCTGTATAAGTGGAAAACATCACAGCAGTGCTGCCCATTCCTTCCACTGCTGAAGGGAAACCATTGCCTAATTAGCAGCAAAGATGTGGTGAATGAGCCCAGAAAACTAACCCACGAATCAGCACCTTTACTGAAAAGAAAACCTCAATCCATTTGCAAAGAATGGGGATAGCATAGACTTCGGCTTTCTTCTTCTTCTACATGCCCTGATCTGGCTTAGAAAAAGCCACAGAAGAAAAGTGGTAAGTCAAAGGAAGATCCCTGCATTCACCATTTGTACCATCTGTCCATTTTCTTGCCATATTTTTGGACTTTTTGGCAGTCGGAAAATACCAGCCATGTGCTAAGAGTTCTTCTTATCTCTTAAAAACTCTTCTAAGAGAATTTATACCAAAAATTTCAAGGATATTGAACTTATTAATGCTTCTGTCACAGCTGTGAGTGTCAGCTAGAGCTAATTCTTTCCTATCTCTGTCTGGCCAAGCTTTGAGATTCCTGCTCCTACACTGTTACCTGGCATTGCACTATGCATCCTGAATGTCATTATGAGTCCCAAGTGCAGGGTCACCCACTGACTTGGATTTCACCTGAAAAGGGCTGTTCAGAGGAGTTGAGCCTACTTGTTAATTGGAGGGCTTTGGGAACTATTCCTCTCCTCTCATCAGTTCCTTCACCATCTGTCTCAAGACACGGACTGCTCCATTGTATCCAGGAGAAAACAGGAGACACAGCTTCCCAGATAGGGAAGCACAAGGCTTTCCCAGCTGTTTCCTGTACTTTGAGAATCTTCCCAGATGGACTTTGAAAATCTTCCCAGAGACACTGACTCCCTTGACTCTGATGGGCAGTTTGCTATCCTGCACGGGCCAAGGATCCAAGCTGCACTGTGCCCATGTAGACTTTCTTAAGCTTTTCTATTTTCCTCCATAGAATTAAGGTTGGAAAAAACCTTCAAGATTATCTAGTCCAAATTTTAACTGAATACTGCCATGCCCACTAAACTGTATTGCAAAGTGCCACATCTACTTGTTTTCCAAACACTTCCAAAGATGGTGACTCCACCACTTTCCTGGAGAGCCTATTCCAATGTTTAACCACTCTTTCTGTGAAGAAATTTTTCCTGATATCCAGCTTGAACTTCCCCTGGTGCAATCTGGAGTATTTTCCTCTTGATTTATCACTTGTTATCTGGAAGAAGAGATTGACCTCTACCTTGCCACAACTTCCTCTCAGAGAGTTGTAGAGAGCAATAAGGTTACCCTTGAGCCTTCTTTTCTCCAGGCTAAACAGCCCCAACAGCAGCTTGTGCTCCAGACCCTTCACCATCTCTACTGCCCTTCTCTGGACATGCTCCAGCACCTCAATGTCCTTCCTGTGTTGAGCATCCCAGAAGTGAATACAGGATTTGAGGTATGGCCTCTGTACAGGGGGATGATCCCTTTCCTGGCCCTGCTGGCCACACTACTCCTGGTACAAGCCAGGATGTCATCAGCCTTCTTGGCCCCCTGGGCACACCTGGCTCATGTTCAACCAGCACCCCCAGGTCCTTTCCCCCGGGCAGATTTTCAGCCACTCCTCCCCCAGTCTGCAGCAGCACATCGTGCTGTTGTGACCCTGTTGCTAACAGGACCTGGCACCTTGCTAAACCTCATACCATTGGCTTTGGCTCATCACTCCAGCCCATCCAAAGCCCTCTGCACAGCCTTCCTGCCCTGCAGCAGATCAACACTTCTGCCCAGCTTGGTGTCATCTGCAAACTGACTAAAGGAGAGCCCTTGATCCTCTCATCTAGATTTTCAACAGATGTTAAACACATCTGGCCCCTATACTAAGCCTTGTGGAACACCACTGGTGACTGGCTGCCAACTGGATTTAACTCTAATCATTGCAACTCTTTGGGTTGGGCCATCCAGCCAGTGTTTTACCCAGCAAAGAGTACACACATCCATGCCATGGGCTGCCAGTTTCTCCAGGACAATGCTGTGGTAAGATAGTGTAAAGGGTTTTACTAAAGATTAGATAGACACCATCCACAGCCTTTCCTTCTTCTACTAAGTGAAGTTCACCCTGTCATAGAAGGAGAACAGGCTGGCCAAGTAAAACAAGCCTTTCCTAAACCCATGCTGGCTGGGCTTGATCCCTTTGTTGTTCTGCACCTGCCATGTGATGGCACTCAAGGTGACCTGTGCCATGATCTTCTGTGGCACTGAGGTCAGGTTGATGGGCCTGTAGTTCTCAGATCTCCTTCCAGCCCTTTTTGTAGATGGGTTTCACATTGGCTAACCTCCAGTCCCCTGGGACCTCTCTGGCTAGCCAGGACTGCTGATAAATGATGGAAAGTGGCTTGCTGAGCTCTTCTGCCAGTTTTCTCAGTGCCTTTGGGTGGGCTCCATCCAGCCCAAAAAATTTGGGAGTGTCTGAGTATCACAGCTGGCCTCTAACTACTTCCTCCTGGATTATAGGGAGTTTATTCTGCTCCCTGTCTTTGTCTTCTAGCTCAGGGGGGTGGGAACCCGGGGGACATCTGGTCTTTCTGTTAGAGACTGAGGTAAAGAAGGCATTAAGTAGCTCAGTCTCATCCTTAATGACAATATTCACCTGTCAAGTCAAATAAAGGATGGAGCTTCTCCTTGACCCTCTTTTTGTTATTAATGTATTTGTTATTTTTGATAACAGTAGCTAGATTGATTTCTATCTGGACTTTCCCTTTCTAATTTTCTCTCTGCAGGACCAAACTATATATCTGTACTCTTACTGAGTACATCTTGCTGCTAAGATGAGTACAAAAAAACAGATTAGCTTTTTTGTAAATAAACAAAGTGTTAAGTAATCTATGGTGTTTTTCTGTCCCTTGGGTGAGGGGAAATCATTAACAACTTTTCTTAACAGGGAATTAGGTAAAGTTTTGCTCGGACTAATATACCTTTAGCTCTCCTTCCTACTCCCTGACCCAAGGGAATCAGACAACTAAAAAAGAGAGCGGGGTTAGAGGTGATCCTGAGGACTGTCCTGCTGGCTCAGTATTTTCAACACACACACACACACAACCCCCTGGCTTTTTGTGAAAATGTTGACAGCTTTGGAGCTGGCAAGCTGCTAGCGCAGCTTTCGCAGCCACGCTGGGTGTGATGTGTGACACACCGCGGCAGGAAGCGCTCAGCGTCAGATCTGGCGATAACCGGACCTTTCTTCCAGGAAGACGAGATCATGTGGTCCTGCGTGTGAGTAACGCGGGCTGAGAGTGCCAGAGCCATTACACCCTCAGTGATTTGGGGACCTTTTGGGTTCCCAAGAGCCCTTTGGAAATGTCACACGGGGAGCAGTCACACGCCGTGTTCTCCCCTCCGAGCCCATGCGAGCGCGGCGTGTGGTTCGCAAAGCCACAGAAACACGCCACAGCCATGTCTGCCAGTACCAGAGGCAAACCAAAGCTGAGCAACAGCACTGGGTGGAAAATATTGGTGCGGAAAATATCAAGCTAACAGCCACAGGCACGAGTCCTCTCTTTATCTTAAGCCCAGAGACAGCAAAGATAGCTGTCACATCCCTCATCTCCTTTCCAAGATACCTTGTTCATAAATAGATACCACTCTCAGCATCCTCCCACATCTCCTTTTTTTTTCTGTGAAAAAACAGAAAGCAAGGGGCACTTGCAGTAAAAAAATTCCTCTGAAGTCAGATCTGATCAAGGGTTTGGGTCCTTGGTTGATTCAAAAACCTGTGGTGTTAGATGTGGTATGCTTACTTAGATAGATCAGATTCAGATTCTACATTTTTCGTTCTGCTGAAAACACCAGAAAATTTAGATTCTTCTTTCCAGGAAAATTTAACTCAAAAAAGTAAGGTTTTTGGCATTGAGAAATATCCTCAGATGGGTTCTGACCCACTGTGGCAAGCCCCTCATAGTGTAAACTCAGAAAAGCTATATATAAATACATTTGTGCCTAAAGATGCTGCTTGTCCCTCATTATCTGTGGAAATTCTGGTTCAAAGTAACTTTTTAAAGTTAAATAAGGTTTAAATCTCTTGATTCTGAAAGCATTCCCAGTCAAACACTACAACTTTCTACCTGCATTGAATGTTTATCGACTAGAATCCACCATGAGGCAACTACAGCAATGGCTTTTGGTCTTCATCCAGTCCCAGACTAAACCTGGTCCAGTGACAGAGCTGAAAAACATCTATCCCTGCGCAGCTGCCAAAATGAGCCCAAGCAAGCCCTGGCCCAAATAAGCTCAACCCCAGGTCGATGTCACTGGCTAGAGCTCAGCCCTGGGTCAGGAGCCACCCATTTATTGATAGAGTAACTGTTTTCTCTGCTCTAGCTGCAGTGTCTCTGCTTTCTGTGACAAACAAAGGGGCACATACAGACCTGCAGGACTGTAAGCAGAAGGTCATGTAGGAAGTAGCTGAGGAGGACCTGGGGCTGGAAGAAAAGCCAATGCAGGGAGATATGGGAGGTTGTGCAGCTGAGTGTGGGGAGCCCAGTGTCAGGAGACTGGGCAGTGAGAAGGGCAAGAAGACAAGAGGGAGTCTCTGAGGCTGGCACTGAGAGGCACTGTGCTTTGCTTCCATCTGATGAACACTGTGGTAACCAGACCTGCTCTCTGCTGCTGTCTTCCCTCCTTCCAGCCATCTACCCCTGCCAGCCAGCATCTGCTCCATCCCTGTGCTGGGGAGCACACACCGATGGGACCAGAGAGGGTGGCTAAGAAATGCAGCAGTTGCTCAGCAACTCCCCGTCCCCTGAGCAGGACAGCGTAAGCCATCTGCACCAATCTCCTGAGCTGCTCCTCTCTGCACAGCTAGAGGTGCTCCTACCTTGACTTTTTCTGGATTTCCCCTGCTCAGCCTGCAGATCTTCTCCCGCTCTAAGCCTCCAAACCCTCCATTTCAGAAAAGAAAAAAGCCGCTGTGCAGGGTGCGCTGACCCACCGCAGCAGCATGGTGCAGGACAAAGGCCGAGTTGAAGGGACGTGCCACCAGGTTATTGATCACTGAGGAGACCTTGAGCTGGGTAAATAGATGTCCTGCTTCCTCCCCCACTCCCTGCAGGTGTGGGCTGGGGTGTGGGCCAGGTCTCACAGGCAGCAGCAGGCTTTAGAGGTAGGTCTGCAGCTCTGGGGGAAACCTCGGTGCCTGCCATCAAATCTACTAACAAAGAGGCTCTTCTGCTGCTTCCTGCCCTCTCTCCCCTGCCCCTCCATCTGCGGTCGTGTGCTTATGCCTGCTGTTTCTGAAGGGATGCTGTGGTAGTGGAGAGGTGCCCTTGCTCTCCTGGACTACCCAGTTTGGCTCCTTGGGGAGCAGAGCCTTCCCAGGGGTTGCACAGAAAGGTGCCCCACAAGGAGCAAGGGAGGACAGTCTGTGCTGGGCCTCTTTGTACCACCTGCTCCTCTGGAAGGACGTGTTAGAGCAAGTGGATGTGTGACTGCCTGTCTGAGCGTGCATGTTCACCAGGCTGGGTTTGATGTTCTGGAGTGAGTTACCTGGTGCTTACATTCTGCAAATGTGTTTCCATGTTGCAAGGCAGCCTGGAGGGCTTGGGGCTCTATAACTGGGGAGAGGAGGCTGAAAAGCCCACTCATCCTTATCAGGTGATGTTCAGTGGCATCCACATGGGCTAAAACCTGCGTGAGGGCAGCCACCTCTTCCCCCAGCTGTAGAAAGTCCCTCCCATGCACTTCTCTCCCCATGTTCACATGCACCATTGGGAACAAAGACGACTCACAGACGGGACACAAGCATTCCACAAGACCTCTGTGTTCTCCCATGCAGATGCATCCACATCCCTTTCCTCTCCAACCACAGAAACACAGAGAACCTTTGAGGGCAGGCATGTACTGTGTGGTGGCAAAGGAAAGTGGGTGACAAAACCAATATTAATGTGGCTCTTTTGGGCAATGGTATTTCTCACCCTCAGAACGTGGGGCTGACAGAAGAGAAGCAGCCAGGAAGAAGCAAAAGAAGCATTTTGGGGGAGATGAGGGGCAAAGGAAGACAGAAGGTGGCCCTTGGCACAAACAGGTGGTGGTGAAGGGCTGAACATTATTCAGGTGCTCTCTTCTCATTAGCTCAGCTATTGAGCCAGTGCCAGCATTGGCTTTGCCTGGGAACACATGGCCTGGTGGGAATGGCAACGTTTGCTTACTTTTAGGGATCAAGATAAAAATGGAACAACAGGCAAAGTGTAACTTCAGGTTCCCAGGCAGCGGCCGCTTTGTGCAGCTTTTGCTCACATTTCAGGTCACCAATTTTCTTCCACATTGATTTCTAGATCAAAAAAATACCAGTTTTAAAACAACTCC